TGTGATTACACTGGACTTAGGCATCAGGGCACAATTTCCAGTGCCTTGGGTTGGTAATCAGAAGACCTGAATTCTAATCTCTGCCCTTCACTGATTTCCTGATTGACCTTAGGCAAGTCACTTCAAATTGCCCATCCTTAATACCCGAGCCCCTCTCAGCCAAGTTGTGTTGATTTGAATCCTTCCTCAACCACTTAATAGCTGTGTAATTTTGGGCAAGTTACTCAACCTCTTGTACTTCTGCATTCTTATCTGTTATAGAAGGATAATAATAGTTTCTGTTTCATAGGGCTGTGGCAAAGGGCAAATGAGATAATAAGTATAAAATATTGTTTGGACCATCAAAAATCCACAACAAATATTAGCTAGCCACTGTTATTAGTTCTGAGTCACAGTCTCCTCTTGGGAAAAGGTCAGAGTAGATGATCTCATTAATCCTTTCTATCATCAGGAAAAGCCTCATATGGACACAGCCAATAACCCAACCTCCCAAAATCTCTGTGGCCATAAGGAGCCCTCCTCAGGTCTTATTTACCAAAGCTCATTCCCATGCTGCTGGTGGACCTCCAGGCTTTATTGATTCCTATATTCCATGCAATTCTACAAACCTTGTTTATCCTATTTCTCAGACTACAGAAAATTACACGCTCAAATTAGGAAGGAGAAAAAATGTTGGAAAAAAATCACTTTGTAAGCAAGGGTGATTGCAAAGAGTCTAACATTAAGAGATTAAATGAACCTGATTGTTGTGGCTCAGTGGTTGAGCATTGACCTATGCATGAATCAGGAGGTCATAGTTCCTTTCCTCATCGGGACACATGTCTGGAATGCAGGCTCAGTCTCCAGGAGGGGGCACGCAGGAGGCAGCTGATAGATGATTCTCTCTCATCATTGATGTTTCTTTCTCTCTCTTCCTCTCCCTTTTCTGAAAGCAATAAAAACATGTGTAATAAAAGAAAGCGAGGAAACTAAATTGTTTTTTTTAAAAGAGAGTAAATAATTCTGAACACAGAATGCAGTCTGTGTACACTACCATGATGCCATGTCATTAAAAATCTTTGAATTACATTTATTACACTGCTCAAGGCAGTTCTAATTCTAGAACTATTTCTATCAAAAATTATTAGCATGGTATAGTCTGGAGGATTATCAATTTTCTGACAAGTTTTTATGCTCAAAATGTCACTGGTTATTGTTTAAGTTGCTGGCCTGCTTCTGTTTCTCCTGGCTTGGCATCACTAACATCACACTGAGTGTGGGAGGGTATCCAGAACTTTTTTTTTTATTGTCTCCCAAAGAAAAGGTGGACATAGAGTGAGTATCGAGCCAGGTAATCACCACTGACTACAGCAGTACCTCCAGTGTAAGCTGACTTCAAACTCCTGGCCACCTGCTCAGTAGTAACTTCTTCCCTTGGCCCTCACATCACCTGCCACTTTTTCAACCTAGAAGGTACAGGGCTCAGGAATTGGGACATGCTAAGATCTCAAATAAGATTTCCATCCTGCCTCTGCCAATTGCCAATCAGGCCACTTGAGGCAAAGCATTTTCACTTCTCTGTACATCATTGTGGAATCTACCAAAATAAAATGTGAATAATAATGCCTTACTTCCCAGGGCCATTGCAGAGAGTGAGAACATGGAAGTGGAGCACAGTCCCTTCGTGCAGAGGGTGTGCTTAAGATGCCTTAGTGATTCCTGATGCCCCTTCTAATTGTATCTGGGGTTTTAATGGGTCTTCCCCAACCATAAGCTCATCACATCACGTAGGATGAATAATGGGTGAAGCATAGGTTTGGAGTCAGTCAGACTTGGATTAGAATTCCCCAGTGTGGCTTTGGGTACATTATGTAGGTTTTCTGCTTCCTCCATCTGTGTATTGGGGATACCATCACTTACCTGCAATACTTTTTTATCAGGATTTAGTTAGATAACATATTTAATTAAACAGCCTGACTGACATTTAAAATATCTTGCATCAGAAGTCTTCAAAGTAGTCTTCTGACATTATTCTATTTTATTTTCACAGAAATATTATGAGGTAGATGGGACAAGTATTGTTATGCTCATTTAAAAGAGAAGGAGAAAATCTGGTTTTGTTGAGCAGTTTGTCCAATGCCACACAGACCAAAAATGTATCAGAGTCAGGACTGGCACCAAAGCTTCTGCCTTCTAGAGCAATGCTTTGCCACTCTAATTTTTGTTAATGTAGTTAACACATGAGCTGCATGTTTCAATTGAAAACATAGGGGAGAAAGGATTACCAGTGAACACAGCTTTCTTGTTCATCTTCTAGCATCAGCAGAATACCTGTTAGGATGTTTTCAGCAGAAGCTAATAGAAACCCCATCACAAAATGGCAAGAATATTTATCTTTTCATGTAACCAGAAGTCCAGAGAGTGAAAGGGAGGGTTCAAGGCACAGTGTGGTCAGCAGCACAGGAATGTTAACAAAAACTTTCTCTCTTCTCCTGTCATCCTCAGCACCATGCTTTCCTTCACTTAAGGGTTGTCGCCTTGTGGTCATCAGATGGCTGTCAGTGGGAAATGGAGCTACAAACTATCTTGTCCATGTCCACTAGGACCAAGATACTAACGCTGAGCATCTATCCTTTTCTCAGTCTTTGGAGTAAATTCCAATCAGAGCTTACCCTAGGACCAATAAGAGGAAGCCGATAAATGCTGGAACTCGTTGCCTCAGATTAAGCAGTGAATCCTACAGTGAAGAGTGGAGTTACTGCTGCTTTGTCTCCTGAGGGAAGGGTGAATACAGAAATAATTAGGGTCTCTATGAAGGAATACAGGGAATGGGTGTTGGGAAGGTAACAAACAGTATACATTCCACAGAGTAATAATAATATTCACTATTGAATTGTTAAAATGGCATTTCCTTTTTTAATCCTCCTGTACTCTTCTTAAAGCATTGATTTCAAATTATGATTGGAATAAAAAAGTGTGAAGAAAATGAGCAAAGAGATTTTCCCATCAAGTTTTTGGTATGATTTTAAAGCACACAATACAACATTGTTAACTACAGGATCTATGCTATACAGTAGATCTCTAGAACATATTTATCTTTTTTATTTCAATTCTTTATTGTTTAAAGTATTGCATATGTCTCCTTTTTCCCCCATTGACCTCTCCCCAGCCTCTTCCATCCTGCAGCATAGACCCTCACTCCCCTAGTGTCTGTGTCCATTAGTTATGCTTATATGCATGCATACAAGTACTTTTGTATTTATCTTGTATATCTAAAACTTTGTACATTTTTACTAATACCTCACCATTTCTCCCTCCTCTAGCCCCTAGCAACCACTGCTCTAATCTCTGCTTCTATGAGTTTGACTATTTTAGATTTCTTATATCAATGATATCATGTAGTATTTATCTTTCTATGTCTAGCTTATTTCACTTAGCTAATGTTTCACAAATGGTGGCATTTCTTTTTTTAAGGCTGAATTCTATTCCAATGTATGTTCATACATTTTCTTTTGTCCCTCCCCACCCCCACTTCTCTGAATGTCTTCCTTGTATGTATTTTAAAGTTTATTTTTATTGTTGACACTATTACAGATATCTCCCATACCCCTCACCTTTACCCACCTTCACCCTGCCGGTGCCCCCTTCTTTCTTTCTGGCCATCACCTCACTGTTGTCTGTGTCTATATGTTGTGCATATATGTTCTTTGGCTAATCTCTTCACCTTCTTCCATACAGTTCTACTGATGTCCCCTTCCCTTCTGACAACTGTCAGTCTAGTCCCATAATTTTTTTAAATGTATTTTATTACTCCATTATTTTAATTTATAATCAAGCACCAAGATCTTTCAAATTTTATATAAAGCCTAAGAAAGTTGATGGGAATTTCCATACAACGAAGTTTTATAAAGGGAAATCAATTTGGAACATGGACAGATTTTATGTTCCTAAAAAAGGAAATAAAAATAAAATAGATTAAGTTGACAGAAGACATATAAAGAATAAAATTGAGAGCATGATAAAAGTGGGAAAAATATAAAGGTAGAAATGAGAGGACCTCTGTTTTTATTATTTATTATAACTAGAGGCCTGGTGCATGATATTCTTACACCAAGGGTGATCCCCTCAGCCCAGCCTGGACCCTCTCCAATCTGGGATCCCTCTCACAATTTGGGACCACTGGCTCCTAATTGTTCACCTGCCTGCCTGCCTGCCTGCCTTTCTCTAACTGCACCCCTCCATCAGCCTGATCACCCCTAATCGCCTCTGTCTGCCAGCCTGATCACCCCTAACTGCCCTCCTGCTGGCCTGGTCACCCACAACTGCCCCCCCCCCGCTGGCCTGGTCATCCATAACTGCCCCCCTCTGCAGTGTGATCACCACCAACTGCCTCTCTCTGCTGGCTTGGTCACCCCTCACTGTACCCCTCTGCCAGCCTGATCATCCCTCACTGCCCCTCTCAGTCAGCCTGGTCACCCCTCACCACCACCCCTGCCAGCCTGGTCATCCCATACAACCTACTGGTCAGTTGTTTGGTCATCCCTCCCTAATCCCACTGCTGGCCTGATTGCCCCACGCAGCCTGCTGTTCAGTTGTTACTATGTGGGCATCATGACCAATTTTCATATTACCTGTTTATTAGTAAAGATATGTTTTTGTTAGTTTTAGAGAAAGGAAGGCAGAAGGAGAGAGAGATAGAAACATCAATGAAAAAGAAACATTAACTAGCTGCCTCCAGCACACCCCTCACTGGAGAATGATTCCAAAACCCAGGCACATATCCTGACTGGGAATCAAACCAGCAACCTCTTGGTGCATGAGTCTATGCTCAATCACTGAGCCACAATGGCTGAGTAGAGGATCTCTGATTTTTACCAACTTCTGTCCTAACAAATTATGTGTCCGTGATTAAATCACTTGAGAACAAAACAGGCACCCCACAGATCTGACCCCAGATGTTATTGATTGATTGATTGATTGATTGATTGATTTACTTACTTATTCTTTTGCCAGCACCTAAGATATAACTGCATCTAAGATAATCCTGCTATTGGAAGCATAGTAACAAAGAGAAAACTTCTGAGAGTAAACACACCCAACTACCAAAACCCTAGAGCTCAGACACTAAAGGTTCAGAGTCATAAATAATGAAAATATTTTTAGGCGATGTCCTCAGAGGCAATAAAGATCCATTATATTTTCAATATATCAAGAAATGTATGTCTTGATTCAGAATTATTGCTGCCAGTGATAGTCTCAAGGTTGCTTATGTAACAGAAGTCAAAAATCTCTTTATTACCCTATATTATATGACCCAGGTCTGTTTTTTAAAAAATAGGGTAATGTTTTAAGGAGACAAGTCCCCAATTGGCTATTCTACAGGTTTTAGTTTCACCTCATACAGGAGTAGAATGAAGTTAATGCTTCTCAAGAGTCCACATGTTTCCTAGACATAAAAATTGCCTCTTTCATGGAACCAGAAGAGTTGGCTGTTTATGCCTATGGATGCCTCTTTGACTCACTTCACTTGCAAATAGCACCTGACTCAGTTTCACCAAATGATAGTGAAACCTTTGTCTAGTTGGACAATATTCTCCCAGAAGTGCTACCCACCACAGAGCTCCTATGGGTCCATGAAATGTTGTCTCCCAGTGCATGTCCCAGAGCCTAGTGTAGATAATGCATTTTCCTTTTCACTGCTCAAAACTCATTCGTCAGGATTAGCAGTTTTTGGTACATCTTGAGCATTACATAATCATATATTAGTATAGAAGGTTTTAACTTCTTGTCTCTTCAAGAGATAACTAAATGTGTCTACTGGCTATATAATTTGTCAGCCATTAACAAAGACAACGGACAGTAATTTTTGTCATATTTTTTTCTGATAGGGCCTTTGATAACATTTAAAAGTATTATAGCCTCAGGTTTAGCTTCCTTGAATACTAGTGTTTGTTTACTTGTTTGTTTGCTTGTTTGCTTCTTTCTTTGCTTGCTTGTTTGAAACAAGTGATTTACAATGCCAGAGGTGCTAATCTTCTGTAACTATATGCTAAAGACTTGCTAAACTTTCTGACTTTATGGTCAGCTTTGACAGCTGCATTCTCTTGCTGAAAAGAAAAAATGCTATATTTAATGTTTAGTCCTTGATCTCCATTAGTCTAACAAAAGCTAATCTCAAGGAAATTGTCAAGAAAGTCCCAACAAAAGTTTAAAGGATGCGCCTCCCTTAGCAAATGAAAAGTTTCCGAAGATCCTCATTAAATTCTTTTTTGAAAACTTAGCAATTCAACAGAAAATAGCAAATAAATTTTGTATAAAATTCTGATTACTTAAATGCAGTTTATTGCTGCAAGAGCCTGAAGGTTTTCCAAAACTGTGAGTAGCAAAATGAACAAACTTGATCAACTTAATCAGTGCAGTGGAATTTCAGAAATATTCCACTGAATTGATCACATATTTTTAAAGATTATCTTATAAAATAATTCAGGGGGGAAACTCACAACTTTACTGACTCCCTTAGATCAATATTTTAAGGCTCTCCAACATATGGCCCACTTGATATTTATAGGTTTTTCATATGGTGTCACTGCATGAACCATCTACACCAGCCAACCTGGTCTACTGGCTGCCAAGCATGCCTCCAACTTTTCTTCTCCTGGCTTTTGTCTGCCCTGTGTCTTGGGCCTGAGGTGCTTTCAGTTTTCTCTCTGCTCATCTTGTAAGCTAAATTAAGTTGTGCTTCCTCCATGAAGTTTTTGCCAATGACTCCATTCCACACATTGTAAGGTCTCTTATATTATTGTTATCATCTTGTATTGTTGTAACTATCCCTTAACTGATGAGGCACTTCTGTTATATATGCCTAAATCTATATTTTTGTCTGTCCACTGCTTTACATAATGCCTTGCACATGTCTGCATTGGCTATATAAGTTAGTATGAATAATTTAATTGATTGAGGAAATCATTTAATCAGAATACAACCTTTTAGGGAATAATTGTAAAATTTGCAATTCCATCTGTGGCCCACACACTTGAAATAAATTTCCAAATCTAACACTTTCTAGATAGTGACTTAATCTTGGACAAGTCCTTTCACCTCCACAACTTCAGAGTTCTCATCTGAAAGAATCAAAAGAATAATAATGACACTTGTTTCACAAGATGACAGTGACAGTCAAATGATGTAATAACTTTGAAAGTGTTTGTACAAAGTGAAATACCTTTCAAAGTATGAATGCTCATTGTTATGCAAAAGAAATACTACCTTTAGAGTATCATATCAAATATAGTAAAAGCTCCTGAAATTATTAAGACTTGTGTTAGTTTTAAGACATATTTCATTATAACAGTAGTACACTACTATTGCTAATACTTTAAACAATAAAAAAAGAAAAAATATATATTTGGTCAACTTTAAATGGTCCTCTATATCAGATTGTTATTCTTATTTTCATTTACAGATGAAAGTTAGAAGTTTTCTAGAAGCTCACGATTGAAGTGAAATTAATGATGGCACCAAAATGAGAGCTTTCATTGTTCTACTTAGTAGCTCTAAGCTTAATAAGCACTACTACTTCTCTCTAAATTTTTCTTTAAGTCCATTAAAGCTCTGATTATTGGAGACTAATATAAAGCAACACACTGAACATATGACTTTGTCCTCTGTAGTTTCTTGCACCCTACATTAGCATACATTTTATCCCTGGATCCATAATTTGGCTCCATGTCTCTTTAAGATCTTACAGTATTCTTCTAAAAGTTCTCAAATCTATACTCCCTTTTCCTAAATATACATCTTTACCATTTTTTCATTGATAAATTCTTTACATGAATCTCAAAATTAAAACAAAAACTAAACTTGTCATCTCTTTCTCCCCACCCCCCCATCCTGAAACCTGTAACTCTTTCTGTATTATCTATCTTAGAACATGCACAACCATCTATACAGTACCCAAAAACAAAAAACTGGAAGTCGTCCTTACCCATAGGATAATTTCTGCTAATTCTGTCTCCTTTCCAAGTCATTAATTCTACACTTCCATAAATCTCAATGTTCAAGAGCTGAGGTTAGTCCATTTATTGTGTAGATTATTGCCATAGTCTTCTAACTATATTCTATGTTCAATTTGGCTTGCTTCAGTCCATGGTTTATTCTGTAACCAGAGTAATCCCTTTAGGATGCAAACTAAATTCTATCAATCCTTGACTTTCAATCTTTCATGGCGCCCCCATTTCCATCTACAAAAGGGATGTAAGATGTAAGATGAATCATGAATCCCAACTCCTTCACATGTATCCAGGTCCTCCCTCACCCAGACCACCCTCTCTCCTTCCTCCAAGTGTCAACTTAGATGTAAAGATATCCTGAATTATTTTCCTATTCACTCTCTTCCAAAAACTGACTGCTTAGTTCTTGGGTCAGACTGCTAGGATTTATATTTTGTCCACTTCTCTTCCTGTGCCAGTCTAACTGATTATTTAATAGTTCTGTGCTCAACTTGCTAATCTTTAAAGTGGGTGTAACATGAGATTTTTAGAAGACATCAATGAGGAGTATCTGGAATATCATAAGAACTCAATAGATTTTTGTTTGTTTGTTTGTTTGAATGCTACAATAGAGTAAGAAACACTGTCCTGTGGGAAACGGACAAATGACCAGAAAAGACCATTTATGAAAGAAGGAATACAGATGCCCATTAGTCATAGAAAATTAATTTTGGCCTAATTACTAGTTGAGAAATATATATATATGATATAAACTTCACCTTTGTTTACAACATAAGCCAAATTTTTTCTTTCATTCTTTATTTATTTAAGAATGAAATTCAGAGTTGAGGCAAATTTGTTAAAACAAACACTTTTGTGTTACTGGTAGACATGTAAATGGCTCTACCTCTGTAGAAAGCAACTTGGCATATGTACCAAGGTTATCAAAGTATTAAAATTCTTTAAACTAGTTACTTTACTTTTAAAATATTTTTTTTATTTTGTTGTTGTTGTTGTTAATCCTCTCCCAAGGATATTTTTTCCCATTACTTTTTAGAGAGAGTGGAAGGGAGGAAGAGAGACAGAGTGAGAAACATCCATGTGAGAAAGATATATTGATTGGTTGCCTCTCCCACACTCCCCAATCAGGCCCAGGAATCAAATCTATGACCAAGTTACATGTCCTTGACTGGAAACTAACCTTGAACTCTTCAGACATTGGGATGATGCTCTATTCATTGAGCCAAATTGGCTTAGGCTCAAGTATTTTTTAAATGTGTCAATAAAGCTCAGAGGGATTTATATGCAAAGCTATTGTGATGTGTTTGTAAGGGGGAAAAATGGCAACTCTCTATTTAGTATAGAAAATGTTAAATTCTTACTAGTATATATGCATTCTGTTATATACAATAGTTTGGAAATTACTAAATGAGCATGGGAAGAAATGCATCTAAAACATAAAAATTTTGCAAGAGTCAGGATCTGGCTCCTGAGAAAAAAATAAAAGTTCCTTAGGTGAGAAAAATTGGGGATTACGTTCCAGGAAGGAGTTAGGGGCAAAGATGCCAAAGCCTCAGAACACTCATAGAGGCCTGGGAAGTTCAAACACCCAAGAGTGATTACAGTATAGAAGTCCCATGAACAAATGACAAGATACAAAGCAAAAACTAGCCATCACCAGTTTTTAAAAGCTTGGGATGTCATGGTAATGGACTCTATTTTTCAATTGCAAACCATTTGAGCTTTTTAATAGAAGGCTACCACAATTGTTTTACTTTAAATGACACCTTATCCTTTTGGACATTTACCAAATAGAATTATATATAACAAAAGTTAGATTAACAATTAATAACAAGGTATATCCCCAAGTTCTGTTTACTAAATTAGGTGACTACAAGTACAGCAAGATGCATGATAGTTCAAAACATTTCATAAAACTTACAGTGCTGTTGAAGCCATCCTTTTCACTAGAAGATAAATTTGTTATTTTCATCCCTTTTTTTGTTGGTTGGGTTGGATATTTTTCTAACAAAGGCATGTCTCCTCTACTTTGATCTTTTGTTCTACCTTCTTGGTTATTTTCTTTGACTTTATAAGCATAGTTCAACTCTTGGGTATTTTTTAATGTTTTATTATTGTTGCTGTTTTTGTTGTTCTTTTATTTATTCTTGGTAAGTTAAATAGATAAAGCGAGTGCTTTTTTGAATCCCAAATCAGCAATCCAGTTAAAGTGAGCCATTCCCCTTTGCATTTCAATCTTTGAATCATCATTCTGTGAAATGATAGTCACTGCTTCTAATGGTAATCAAGGCTTGGA